CCAGCAAGCTCTCCTATGTTGCTATATTGTTCACCCTGAGGCCGCCTGTGAGGTGGCTTCTGCTGATTGGGTGTCTAGACACTCCAAGGCTGACTGCAAGCCCCGTGAGCTTGCCTATCCCTCCCCTTCCCTGCTCACCTCAGTGTCAGGAGAGCACAGTGCTATGGGCTCTGTCTAAGGGGCATAGTAACTGGGGGGGGGGCAAAGAAGGTTTACCCTGCTTCCTGTTACTGTCTGCTCACCCTGGACCTTAGGCACACATCTGGGGGAGGGGGAGGGCTAACCCAGAGGAGAAAGCCTCGGTGATTTGTCCTCTGACCACAGCTGCCTCTCCTCAAGCTCTACCCAGTTGGCACCAGCTCCTAGGCCTTGTCTCCTGTCAGCACTGCTGCAGGCGTGCCCACCCACGGCCATGTTCCCGTCCCCAGACAGTCTTCCCCACTGGCTTCAAGAGATAAGTGAACAAGAACCAACTTATTAAATCTAAGAGGTGAAGTAACTCAGCCTGATGCATGTTAGCGGGCGCGGCTTCCCCGTGGACCTGCAGGTAGCTTCGAGTTTCCTGGGGAAGTCATGCCCAGGTCCTCAGCTGTGCGCACATATCACGGTGGGCAGACTGACAGTCTACAGACTCTCTTCACCTGCACCACGTAGAAGCCCGTTAACCTATACTTGGAAAATCGATCAGAGATAATTCTAGAACATAGTTTTTAGAGTCCTCACTTGATGATAGATGAGGTTCAGGGTCTGTGATAGCTTGGGAATAAAGAAGATGGAAACAGTGTTTTGAGCAATGCTGAGAGCAGAAGGGGAGCTGTCTCCAGAGTGCCTGTGGTTTTGGGAATCTCATCTTTACACCATACACCAAGTGCTGGTTCATATTTGATGCACAGTACCTTTCCCGACCGCCGCACTGCTGGTGAGAGTGTGTGGTACCAGGGTGTTTTCTCCGAGCCACAGACCTCTGTAGATGGGGTAATGTGGCTGGCAGAGGCCTTCACTCTATGGCATTACTGGGGCCTCCTGATTGGGAGCCCACCCTGGTTGAGGGGGATCTGATCTGGCTGCCATGTTGACAGAAGGACTTTGGCCAGGAGCAGCTCAGGAAAGCCTCCATTGGTTGTTGGTCTCTGGAGGATCAGGGTTTCAGAGAGATGATTTTATTATTTCAACCCTGTGTGGTGGCTTCTTCCCGCCTGGAATCCCAGCCTGAAAGGCCAGAGGCTGAGGGCTGCTTTGACTTCCAGGCCGACACTGACTTCCTGGCCTGAGAATGAGACAATGGCTTTGAAAATAATAAAAGCAAGATTAGAAAGGTACATTCCAACATAAGCATTTATGAATCAATAGATTTAACTCCATCGAGATTGGCCTGCAAACAAGGAGTGGCTGTGTCACTTTGCAGTAAGGCCCCAAATCAAAGATTGATTGGCTCCATTTCTTCCACGAGAACAACTTTGCTATGTGTCGTTAGTTACTTTATCAGGGACAGCATGTTATGTCATCTTGGCTCTTGTTAATCACCCCTCTCTTCCTCTATCCGATTGTGAGCATAATTGGGTGAAGTTGATGGCGTGCAGCCACTCCACATCCATCATCGTAAGCTGGTGTCGGGAAAACAGTGGATTGTGATGTCCGCCCCAGGAGTGCTGCGTGTGCGCGTGCGTGCGTGTGTGTGTGTGTGTGCGCGTGTGTGTGCCCGAGCGTGCGTGCGTGCGTGTGTGTGTGTGTGTATGTGCGTGTGTGCGTGTGTGTGTGTGTGTGTGTGCACGCGCGTGCGTGCGTGCGTGTGTGCGTGCATGCGTGCGTGTGTGCGTGCATGCGCGCGTGTGTGTGTGCGTGTGTGTGCGCGCGTGTGTGTAATCAGGGTTAGACTTGGTACTTGGAAACCCACACCTTGTTTTGTGTCTCAGACAGAGACGGTGCCACCACCTACACACAGTCAGAGGGCTCCATGCTGTGGGATGGGTGGGCCCATAGAAGACTCTGGAAGGCTGAAGGGGGTGCCCTCTGTGTGACTCAAGAACAGTTAGGTTCAAAGCTTCGGCTGGTAGTTGGTTCCCTAGGAAAACTCAAAGTCACAGAGTTGGGCCAAAGTGTAGATGCCCAAGTGGAGGAGCTTGAGAGAAACAGACTACAAAGTTCTGTTGGCAAAATCTCTCCGAGCCCGTGGCTGTCCTTCCGGGCCTCCCGGAAACAGACACTAAGTAGCAGCCACAAGCATTTGTGGAAGGTTGGAGGCTGCTGGGCCACTGTCGCCTTCTGACATCACGCAGCAGTGGGTGGGAGCCCAGGGTACCGAAGGACTGGATGCACAGTGTCCGCAGATCACCGTGGCTCCCAGCCGCTCACGTCCACACCTCTTGCCCGCCGATCCCCGGCCACTCCCCACTGGTTTCTGGCTGTGTGAGAGTTGCCACCTTCTGCTCTTTGTGCCGTTCTTTTCTATGCTGTGGCTACAGCCTTCTCCCTCCGAGATGACGAGGTAGACTCCATCATGGCAGGGTTTTGGTCGGCTCCCCTCCCCTTCTGCCCTCCCTCTGCCCCCCTCTTTATTTCCTGATATAAGCCAAGTACACTTAGGGTGCCCTGAACATTGGTTGCAAAAACTAAAATCATTCTAAATGTGAGACAGATGGGACCCTGGAGCTGAAAAAGACACTGAAGGCACCTGGTAAAATTGTAACAAAGTTATTATTCACTTAGTTATTATCTGTTTTGATGACATTGGTGTGCTCAGGTTAGGCGCTAGCGTGGGATGGGGTGGAGGTGTGGCTGGCATAACTCGGGGCACTTGCTTGCCGGGGAGACTGGAGAGGCAGTCCTTGGTCCTGCCCAACAGGAGGTTTGTTCCACATGATTAACCTCTAACCCGGGGTGAGGGGGGCAGGTGGGGGGGGGACAGACTGAAAGATGATTCTGCTTTGAGATAGGAATACAGTTCTACCCAGTTTTATCTTCTCAGTGGTCCTCATGCGAGCCCTGCCCCTTCTAGGGCTAGGGCTGCCATCCCAACACTTCCTCAGTTTCCCCTCTCTTTCTGACACATGCCTTGATTTGCTGGCCATGCTGCTGTCTCGGGTCCATCTGTGTCTGTGAGGATGAGGGACCCGTTCTCCAGTCTCCCTCTAGTTCCCAGAGCACCACCTGGCACCAAGTAGACTTTGTTAACTCCCAAATATGACTCATACTTAAACATAGAGCTGACTGTGTGTATGAGAGAGAGTGGAGGGGATGGAGGCGGGGCAGGGGTGGGCCTACCTGGCTTCCTCAGATGGCATATCTCCTGCTTCTAGCATGTGCACAGAGCTGGGACTGTAGTAAGGAAACAGGAATTCCAGAAGCATTTGTGCTCAACGAGTGTGTGTGTGTGTGTGTGTGTGTGTGTGTGTGTG